ATACTAATCATTGTAAGATTAAAATTTTCATCAGTAACTATTTACTACCAGTGCGCGACCCAGTGTTTCGAAAATATGACATTTATAAATAGTAAAGCAGTTTATGTGTTCATTGTGTTCAGAAAATGCAACCAAAATGGTGTAAGGGCTACACGACAGTACGGAGAGATATGTTCTAATGGGCAACCGTCTCCGCGTTCGTATTCTTACAATTTGGAGACCAATTTATGGTAGTACGGCTTCTTCCGCAAACCAAAACCAGATGTGCTGAATCCAATCATTGAAAATAAACGTAATGTAGTAGCAGTAATAGCGGACGTCGAATTAAATCCATATATGACTATGGGAGATCTGGCTAGAGAATATGAAATTTCCAAATCATGGGTTTAATGCGTTTTGAGAACACATAACTTTTATCACTATCGATTTTCCATTAGATAAGCATTGCGACCTGGAGAAGAAGTTCGAAGAATGAACTGTTGCCGATACTTTTTACGACGTATTCAAGAAAATGAAAATTTTGTGTTCCTAATTCTGTGGGCAGACGAAACGACATTCACAAACAATGGGATGTTTTATGGACATAATACACATGGTCTGTTGAAAATCGACGCCTCAGGAGAAACACTAACAAATATGGAATAGCGTAAATGTTTAGTGCAGAATTTTTAACAAATGGAGTATCGGACTATACATATTTTTTTAATGAAACATTGACCGATCAAAGGTACCTAAACTTTCTGGAATCTGATCTACCAGTTCTTTTACACAATACAGACATTCCCTCTAAGATAATGGCAAAACATACGGTACTTTCAACAAGACGGTGCTCCAGAACGGAATTCTCGGATAGCTGCCAGACTTTTAAGTAAAAATTACAGGGCATTGGTACTCGCTGATGATTCGGTATTCACATCCCATTACTAAATGTTGAGAAGTTCAAACAACACATTCGACGTCCAAAATTACGGAAAGGGATACAAGTAATGTAGAGAGTAATATACAGTGTATATAAAGGTATGATAATAATAGTATAATGAATTATATAAATGTACAGTGGACTGTTACAACACAATTGAACGACACACTCGACATTTCAAAATTACCTTTTGTCCAAAATTAGGAGAAAAACCCGCAAGCCCTCTTCTCCCCTCCTACTACATTCCTACAAAAACATCGACGGACTGTCCGTCTATCATGGTCTTTCTTTTATACATCAGCTTTTATACATCATACTACAGTAATGTGTCATGCAACGTAAGAATTGCAATGGAGGACCATTCGCACAGTGGTTTATGATGTAAGTATGTGCTATGGAACACTTGCTTAGTGACGAAATAATTCGAAGAACTTGTAGCTGCAATAACTTTCTAACGAATAAATCTAGGACAGAAGTAAGTTAATTATGTGGAGCACAAAAAACTGTATCGATTTGTGCAATCAAAAATATAGGTTACCACTTAAAGAATAAATGCTGTATCAGAACAACTCAATTTTTCGACGGTGAATACGCACAGTTTATTTCAATTATTATAACAACGTATTATAATTCAGTCTGCGAGTGATAGACATCAATATTACAACCAAATGCCGAAATACTTGCTCACGCAATGAAAGTCTTTGCAAAATATAAAGTAAAGTCCGTAATGACAAACAACTATGTCCCGTAGTGACAAGTTATAAGTGAAGCCTCGTAACAACAAATATAAAGAATGTGTTACGATGGCAACTCGATAATGATCGTTGCCGGCGCGCGTTCACCAACGCGGATTTCTTCCTCGGAGGAATTTGTAGGGTTCCTCTTACCGATTAGGCTCGTCGGTGTTCGCGGCCGATGTTGTCACTATTTAAAATGACAACACCTTTTTTTGACGTGGGTCTCCGCACGATTGAGACCCAAGAAAACTCGATGATGCGGATTCGAGTTATAGAAGATAAGTGACGATCCGTTGTCGTCTTGTCGTCCGCGAAACGTTCGGACGTCCGGAAATCCACGCTGATTGGTTTTCCGAAATTTGTTAATTTCCCAATCAGCGTGGTTGTTAGATTCTAAATCCCACCCTCTATTTCGGTCTTAGCCAGGTCGCTAAGAGAGGGTGGGGTGCAAGCGCGCGTGTGTGTGAGAAGACCCAAAGTCCTGCGACACCGGGGTTTTTCCCTCCAGGTAGGCCCTCGAAGGCCAGGAAAACCGTTACATCGTTTGCTCGCGAAATTACCCTTCGGGAAGGACCGAGTTTATGACATGAGCTGAGCTGTCGAGAACAAAACGAAACTAAAAATTTGGAATCTATTATCTGAAAAAAGGTAAACGACTATTGCTAGCAATCTAAAATATTCAAACTCAAAAACAGCTGTTCGTAGAGGCCCTATCATAAACTCCCTTTGGAAATCCTCACCTCATGTTCCGTTAGCGACGGAACAGATCCAGAGATGTAGAACCACTTTGTGGGATCCATGACAAATCTTTTTCTCTTTCATCTTGTAGACTAAACAATAATCTAAGAAAAATGTTTTGAAACTTTGTATATTTTTTTTTATTTCTTTTTCCAATGTGTATTTAAAAACTAAAATAAAATCGGATTCATCACATTTTGTTTCGATCACTACAAATGATCAATACAGATATTAATTTCAAATTGAATATTTCCAAATTTATTCAATTATTCTTCCTGTTCTTCGCACTGTGGAATGACGAAATAGGCAATAAACACTATTCAGTGGACGCGAAACATTAGGTTTACGTTTAGATTTGTTTAGTTTTGAGCACTGAAAAGGAAAAGGAAAGTTAAGAGATACTAGAAAAAATTGTATTGGGATGATACAGTAAAGCTACCGATATCTGAGACAGAAGTTTATTCTGGTGGAAAATATTAAAATGATGTTAAATTAATTAACAGCAAAGTTAAAATTATTGTCCAATATAGTAACAGCTCATTCTTTTCCCTAAAATACTGATAGTACAATCGATAATCCCAAAATGATCGTTGCCGGCGCGCGTTCACCAACGCGGATTTCTTCCTCGGAGGAATTTGTAGGATTCCTCTTACCGATTAGGCTCGTCGGTGTTCGCGGCCGATGTTGTCAATATTTAAAATGGCAACACCTTTTTTTGACGTGGGTCTCCGCACGATTGAGACCCAAGAAAACTCGATGATGCGGATTCGAGTTATAGAAGATAAGTGACGATCCGTTGTCGTCTTGTCGTCCGCGAAACGTTCGGACGTCCGGAAAGCCACGCTGATTGGTTTTCCGAAATTTGTTAATTTCCCAATCAGCGTGGTTGTTAGATTCTAAATCCCACCCTCTATTTCGGTCTTAGCCAGGTCGCTAAGAGAGGGTGGGGTGCAAGCGCGCGTGTGTGTGAGAAGACCCAAAGTCCTGCGACACCGGGGTTTTTCCCTCCAGGTAGGCCCTCGAAGGCCAGGAAAACCGTTACATCGTTTGCTCGCGAAATTACCCTTCGGGAAGGACCGAGTTTATGACATGAGCTGAGCTGTCGAGAACAAAACGAAACTAAAAATTTGGAATCTATTATCTGAAAAAAGGTAAACGACTATTGCTAGCAATCTAAAATATTCAAACTCAAAAACAGCTGTTCGTAGAGGCCCTATCATAAACTCCCTTTGGAAATCCTCACCTCATGTTCCGTTAGCGACGGAACATACTCCCCCCCGTTGATCAATCGGATTGGTCAAGATGTAGATCGCTCTTGACTCGTTGAAGTGATCCGACTGTGTGGTAGTAGGAGGTCCTCTTCTTCGATCGGAAGAGGCGCCAGCTTCTTCACGTTCCTTTGATAAGTCCCGTGGCTGGTTCGAACCGTGACTGCTCGGATGATCCCGTCCGCTCCGGGATGCGTGGCCTCCACACGTCCAAGCTGCCAAGTTAACGGTGGAAGGTTGTCCTCTCTTAGGACCACGATGGTCCCTTCCTTGATCTCGTGTGTACCCGTCGTCCATTTGTGTCGTACGTTCAAATGGTTCACGTACTCCTTTTGCCATCTGGTCCAGAAATGTTGCCTGACTTTCTGGATATGCTGCCAATTGGACAGTCTGTTGGTCGGTGTTTTGCTGAAATCAGTCTCAGTAATGCTCGTTAAGGGATTGCCGATTAGGAAGTGGCCAGGAGTCAGAGCTGACGGATCGTTGGGATCTGTGGAGAGAGGAGTGAGGGGTCTTGAATTAAGGATCGCTTCGACCTCGATTACGAAAGTGTTGAACTGTTCAAGAGTGAACAATTCTTCACCCACCACTCGTTTGACATGGTGTTTGAACGCCTTTACAGCGGCCTCCCAAAGACCACCGAAGTGTGGCGATAAGGCCGGGATGAAATGCCAAGAAATTGTCTTGTCGGCTATGAATGTTTGCAATTTCTTGTCCCTTGCTAGCGATTGATAGATTGCAGTTAACTCCTTATTTGCACCGACGAAATTGGTGCCGTTGTCTGAGTATATGTGACGACAAAGTCAGCGCCGTGCAATAAATCGTTTAAGAGCTGCGATAAATGCCTCGGTAGTTAGATCGCCTACCACCTCAAGGTGCACTGCCTTCGTCGCGAAGCAGGTAAATATTGCCACGTAAACCTTTACCTTCGCTCGGTTTCGATAGCGCCGCTCCTTGACGTAAAACGGTCCGCAATAATCTACGCCGCAGGTATGGAATGGCCGATTTGCGGTGACACGTGCCGCAGGTAGATTTCCCATGATGTATTCGACGGCAGGTGGATTGACCCGGAAGCACCTGACGCATCGTCGAATAATTTTTCTTGTTGTATTTTTCCCATCAATGGGCCAATACGTTTGGCGCACGCTGTAGAGGGTAGCCGTGATGCCCGCGTGATGATTTTCGACGTGCGCTTCACGTATGATCAAATCAGTCACGTGGTTTCCCTTCGGCAGCAAAATAGGATGTTTTTGCGCGAACGGTAACTCCGAATTCTGCAGACGTCCTCCGACACGTAGCAAACCCTGTTCGTCAAGAAATGGGTTGAGCGATCGCAGTTTACTCTTCGGACGTAATTTTCCGCCTTCGAGGTCCCGAATGTCCTGTTCGAATGAGGTGAGTTGCACCAGCTTGATGATACGTTGTCTGGCTTCTTGCAGCTCCTCGGTGGTCAATGGTCCCGCGACGCGTTGACGGAAGCGGAGACAATACGCGACGACCCGCGTAAGCCTCTTGAGGCACGAATATCGGGTGAGGATCTCGTCGCTCCGGCGTAAGCCTCTTGAGGCACGAATATCGGGCGAGGATCTCTTCGCTCCAAATGGTTGAGCTCACGAGACACGTAACCCTTTTTAATTCGGGTACCTCATCCGTCAAGCTGACCTTTGATTCTGGCCACCTTGCTCGATGGTCGGCAAGCCAGTCTGGACCGTGGAACCAGAATCCATTGTTGTGGAATTGCGCAGGCATAACACCCCGTGATATCAAATCAGCTGGATTGTGTTCTGATTTGATATGTCGCCACGATTCCGTGTCTGTTTTGCGCTGAATGTCGGCCACACGGTTGGCCACGAAAGTTTTTAAAGTATTAGGCTGTTTCTTGATCCAGTTTAATACTATGGTCGAATCGGTCCATAAAAAAGTTTCTTTGATATCGCGCGTGATCGCCTTTCGGACGGAGGCGTATAACGATGCCAAAAGAGCGGCTCCGCATAACTCTAACCGCGCGAGAGTTATGGTTTTTAACGGCGCGACGCGAGATTTTGCGCACAGTAAGTGGGTTTCGATGTGACCATCCTCACTTATCGTGCGGACGTAAATGCAGGCTCCGTATGCTCGTTCGCTAGAATCGCAAAATCCGTGGAGCTCGATGTGCTTGCAATTCAAAATCCATGGAGCTCGATGTGCTTGCAATTCCTTTGACTGACGTGACGGTTGCACTCCATGTTGTTCAGTTCCTGCAACTGTGCCGCGTAGGTGATCCACTCGGTGTGAAGGTTGGCAGGAAGTGATTCGTCCCAACTGATCTTCAATTGCCGAAGGCGTTGCATTAGGATCTTGGCGATGATCGTGACGGGCCCAAGAAGTCCTAATGGGTCGAATATTTTAGCGATCGTAGACAAAATACTGCGCTTGCTGATTTTGCCGTTGGTTGGGATTTCGACTGTGTAACGAATTGTGTCGTTTCGCGCATCCCAGGACACTCCCAAGGTTTTCATAACGGCGGCGTCTCCTAAGATTTTTGGGTGGATCTGCTCCTCGCTCAGTCCCTCGAGAATGTTGGGTTCGTTGGAGGCCCATTGGCGGATGTTGAGTCCTCCTGTCTTGAGCAAGTTGCTGATCTGCGTCTGCATGCGTTTCGCTTGTTGAGCCGTATCGGCGCCCGTGAGAAGATCGTCTACGTACAGATCTCTCTTTAAGACGGTTGCCGCTTCTGGATACGCGTCCCGTTCGTCGTCTGCGAGTTGATGTATGCAACGGATTGCTAAAAATGGAGCCGACGAAAGGCCAAACGTGACCACGTTCAACTCGTACGTTTTTACGTGGCCGTCCTTATTTCTCCATAAAATTCGCTGGTACGCGCGATCCTCTGGCCGAACGAGAAATTGCCGATACATTTTCTCAATGTCCCCGGTAATTACGAAAGCGTACGTGCGAAATCGTAGGAGAAGAGAGAACAGGTCGTCCTGAATGGTTGGACCTATCATTAATGCGTCGTTTAATGATACACCTGTGCTCGTCTTTGCCGAACCGTCGAACACAACTCGAACCTTCGTCGTGGCGCTTGAAGGTTTTATGACAGCATGATGCGGCAGGTAGAAGCCACGCGCGTCGAAACCTTCTACCTGTGACATGTGTCCCAACGCAAGGTATTCGTTTAATACCGCAGTATATTGTTCTTTTAATTCCGGATTGCGTTCCAATTTTCGCTCGAGAGAAAGAAGACGATTTAGGGCACGCGACCGGGATTCCCCTAGATTGTTCTTCTTCTCGTTGAATGGTAACGCAACCGTATAGCGTCCGGAATCATCACGTCGCACGTTTTCTACGAAATGTTTCTCGCACTCGCGTTCTTCGATGGAGAAGTGTTGATCGCACGGTCCTTCTTCCACCTCCCAGAACCGTTGGAGGCTGACTTCCAGATTGGCGATGAATGTCTTGTGTGCCGCGCGCGTGGTCGAAACTGGAACGTTCCCTCCGATGATCCAACCCAGCTGAGTCTTCTGGAGGATCAAATCTCGGCCGCTTTGGTCGGAAAGATCGAGTTGGCCGATGCTGAGGCATGATAGCGCTGGACCGGTCCCTATCAGCATATCGACTTTCCCCGGTTGATGAAAATGCGGATCTGCCAATCGAATGTTGGGCGGTATTCGAATTTTCGATCGGTCCATCGGCATATCAGGCGTTCGATCTGATATCTGCGGGATCGTGAAGAAGGTCAGCTGTCGTTGATAATTCGAACACCGTGATTTGATTGTTGTTGTCACCAATTTGTTCGCCACGGTGTTTGCCTGATTTAAGCCTTGAATCGCTACGGATGCCCGCGTCGATGGCAAACGTAGCTTGTCCGCGAGATCTTCCGTGATGAAGTTGGCGTTCGAACAGGTATCGACCAGTGTTCGGCAATGAACGGGTTGTCGATCGCGATCTAATACCTCGACGATTGCCGTGGCCAATAATCCGTTCGTTGGTGTGTCCGGTCCGAGATGAGTGCCCTGTTGTCGTGATGTTGAAGGTCCGGTTCGCCTTGGTAGTCACGATTTATTCGCGTTGCCCGGTGTCGTAGCATCCTGATGGAGCTTCGATGTTGAAGGTCCGGTTCGCCTTGGTAGTCACGATTTATTCGCGTTGTCCGGTGTCGCAGCATCCTGATGGAGCTTTTTCGCGTTGCCCGGTGTCGTAGCATCCTGATGGAGCTTCGTGTTGTGGCGCCCGTTGCAGACGCGACATTTTCCTCCGTTACAATCTCTGGTAGCATGATCTGTTTGGAGGCAATTAAAGCAGAGATTGGCCTTGCGTGCAGCCTGGATCCTGTCCTTGACTGTCATATCTAAAAAACGCTGACACTGGAAGACTTGATGCGGTCCGGAGTTGCAAATCTTGCAGCTTGTTGCGGAGGTTGCAACGAAGGTTTGTCGTCTGCCTGATCGCGGCGATGGGGGTTTGTTTGGACGCGTCGATTTTCTCGCGAACGTCGGTGATGTTTTCGCGAGTGCCGGGCGCGACGGTGCCGTGCTCGCTGATGGAGCGTGATACTCGTTCGAAATTGGAGCGTTTGACTCGGTCTGCGGCGACTCTTCGCTCCTGCATCGATGGGACGCGTTGCGGAGATGCCGGAAAACGTCCGAAATCTTCGGCATCGACGTGTCTGACAACGTTTGTTCCCATTCTCGTTTCGTGTTGGGACCCATTTTTGATATCGCGATGCTAGTCAACAGATCGTTCGCGATGTCCTCCCAAGATCTTCCCAATGCGTGCAGGGAGCGAATCTGAGACTGCATGTGATTGACTAGATCGCGGATCGACTCGGCCGTGTCGTCGATCATTGCGGGCGTGTCGCGCAGTAACGCGGAATGTCGGAGAACGAGCGCGCGCGTATTATCGTAGGTTTCGATCAGCTGATCCCAAGTCGCCCTGTAGTTGTCCTCGCTGATCGTGAAGGACTCGATGGCGGATTCAGCCTTGCCCGATAACGACAACCTTAGATAATGGAGCTTCTGTATGTCGCTCAAACCCGTATGCGCGTGGATCATCGTCTGAAATGCATCCTTGAATGCAATCCATTTTTCTAATCGACCATCGAATTTTGGTAGATCGATTTTGGGAAGGTGTACTCCGATCGCGGTTGATGACGTTGACGGAGAAGGTGATTCGTTCGCGACTCTAATTTCCGTTGATGGTTGTTGCGTCGTAACCCGTTCAGCTTCTTGCAACAACGTGAGAGCCGTGGCGATCGCTTCGTCGAATTGTTCGGTGACCGCTTCGCGCTCCGCTTCCGTTTGTTCGAAGTTTTCGATTAATCCTAACTCGTCTTGAATTTCGTTGAACGTGTCAAATTGTTTGCGTAATCGTTCGACCCGTTCGCGGAGTTTGAGGCGTTCTTTCGTCGAGTCTTGATACGTTTCAAGAGCCTTGCTTAACATTGTAATTTGCGCCTTGAATGTGCGGCGTCTGTTCTTCATCAACTTTATCGTCGGCAGTTGATCGGCGCCAGATTCATGAGTTGACGCGGTCGCCATATTTTACGTAACGAGATCGAAACGGAAGAATTACGATACAGGAAATTGCGAGGGATGGAAATAATCGGCAATTCTTAACGAGCCTACCTTGACTGATGCGAAGACGTCGTTGACTGGAATTGTTGTTGGCGCGAACGATTGCCAATGACCCAATCGTGTGTCTCGTTGACCCTGGGTGGCTCCTCTGGATATGCAGTTCCGTCCTGTTTCCTGAATCCTTGGAATCACTTCGTCGGAAGTTGCTGGATTCCACTTATCACTCAGCACCTTAGTTAATTAAATGTCACTTTGTTTGTGGATCACTCGTGCACTGTTTGTCCGTAGGTCAGTGATCCGGCTCGAAGGACCATAGTCACTTTGTTTGTGGATCACTCGTGCACTGTTTGTCCGTAGGTCAGTTATCCGGCTCGAAGGACCATAATATAAAGAATGTGTTACGATGGCAACTCGATAATGATCGTTGCCGGCGCGCGTTCACCAACGCGGATTTCTTCCTCGGAGGAATTTGTAGGGTTCCTCTTACCGATTAGGCTCGTCGGTGTTCGCGGCCGATGTTGTCACTATTTAAAATGACAACACCTTTTTTTGACGTGGGTCTCCGCACGATTGAGACCCAAGAAAACTCGATGATGCGGATTCGAGTTATAGAAGATAAGTGACGATCCGTTGTCGTCTTGTCGTCCGCGAAACGTTCGGACGTCCGGAAATCCACGCTGATTGGTTTTCCGAAATTTGTTAATTTCCCAATCAGCGTGGTTGTTAGATTCTAAATCCCACCCTCTATTTCGGTCTTAGCCAGGTCGCTAAGAGAGGGTGGGGTGCAAGCGCGCGTGTGTGTGAGAAGACCCAAAGTCCTACGACACCGGGGTTTTTCCCTCCAGGTAGGCCCTCGAAGGCCAGGAAAACCGTTACATCGTTTGCTCGCGAAATTACCCTTCGGGAAGGACCGAGTTTATGACATGAGCTGAGCTGTCGAGAACAAAACGAAACTAAAAATTTGGAATCTATTATCTGAAAAAAGGTAAACGACTATTGCTAGCAATCTAAAATATTCAAACTCAAAAACAGCTGTTCGTAGAGGCCCTATCATAAACTCCCTTTGGAAATCCTCACCTCATGTTCCGTTAGCGACGGAACAGTATAGAAAAAAAAATAGCTATACAAGCTTTGCCTATGTTCAGCTGTCCAAAGGTTGACATATTCAAGATAATCTTTTAATTTTGCGCCACCTCCGAAAAGGTTGTAATGTATTTAATATACTACCTAACGAGTAAATAGGTTTCATTCATATCTGTTACGTAATTGTATGATTGAATGAAATAGAAATTACTTCATTAGGAAATAGAAATTATTTTATACTTTTTAGTGCATTTCGAAGTCGGT